ATCCCAAAACCCCAAATGGATCCCAAAACCACCAAATTTATCCCAAAAAATCCCCAAAATCCGAATCCAAGAACCAACCCCAAACCCCAAACGGATCCCAAAAAATTCCTAAAATCCGACACCAAAAACTCATCCCAAATCTCCAAATGGATCCCAAACCCACCAAATTTAACCCAAAAAATCCCCAAAATCTGAATCCAAGAATCAACCCCAAACCCCAAACGGATCCCAAAACCCCAAATGGATCCCAAATCCCCAAATGGATCCCAAAACCACCAAATTTATCCCAAAAAATCCCCCAAATTCAAATCCAAGAACCAACCCCAAACCCCAAACCCAAAATGGATCCCAAAAATCCCCAAAATCCGAATCCAAGAACCAACCCCAAACCCCAAACCCCAAACGGATCCCAAAAAACCCCCAAAATCCAATGTCAAAAACTGATCCCAAACCCCAATGGATCCCAAAATCCCAAATTTATCCCAAATTTATCCCCGATGCCCATCCCGCCGCCGGCCGAGTGCCGCGCGCCGGCCGCTCACCGTCCCGGTAGGGCCGCAGAGTTTCCTCCCCCCAGGGCGGCGGCTCCCGCTGCAGATCCCACCGCAGGTCCCGGTGATCCCGCTGGAGATCCGGGCGGACATCCCGGTGGAGATCCCGGTGATCGGCGTGGAGATCCGGGTGGAGATCCGGGTGGAGATCCCGGTGGAGATCCCGGTGGAGATCCCGGTGATCGGCGTGGAGATCCGGGTGGAGATCCCGGTGGAGATCCCGGTGGAGCTCCCGGTGATCGGCGTGGAGATCCGGGTGGAAATCTGGGTGGAGATCCTGGTGGAGGTCTCGTTGGAGGTCGTGGTGGAGATCCTGGTGGAGATCCGTGTGGAGATCCCGGTGGAGGTCCTGGTGAAGATCCGCATGGAGATCCCGGTGGAGGTCCCGGTGAAGATCCAGGTGGAGATCCCGGTGGAGGTCGCGGCCGGGCGAGGCGCCCATGGCCCGCAGCAGCGCCGGGTGCTCGGGGGCGGTGGCCAGGAGCTCCTTGAGGATGTGGATGGGGGACACGGTGAGCTCCCAGTTGGTGATGCCGAAGTCGCGCAGGTGGGCGCGGGCGTGGCTCGACAGCCCCGCCCGCGTGTCGAAACCCGCGCCGCAGAACTCGCAGCGCATCAGGCTGAACGTGCCCGGGTCGAAGTTGGCCACTGCAAACAGGGACACGTGGTCAGTGGTGGGACCAGGGCCACCAAAAACCCAAAAAACCCCAACCAGGAACATCAAAAACCCAAAAAACTGAATGAGGAACACCAAAAACCCAAAAATCCCAACCAGGACCACCAAAAACCCAAAAAACCCCAACCAAGACAACCAAAAACGCAAAAAACCCCAGCCAGGAACATCAAAAACCCAAAAAAACCCAACCAGGACCACCAAAAAGCCAACCAGGAACACCAAAAACCAAAAAAAACCCAACCAGGAACACCAAAAACCAAAAAAAACCCAACCAAGGCCACAAAAAACCCCAACCAGGACCACCAAAATCCCAAAAAACCCCAGCCAGGAACATCAAAAACCCAAAAAAACCCAACCAGGACCACCAAAAACCCAACCAGGACCACCAAAAACAAAAAAAACCCAACCAGGACAACCAAAAACCCAAAAATCCCCAACCAGGACCACTAAAAANGGACCACCAAAAACCCAACCAGGACCACCAAAAACAAAAAAAACCCAACCAGGACAACCAAAAACCCAAAAATCCCCAACCAGGACCACTAAAAACCAAAAAATCCCAACCAGGACCACTAAAAAGCAACAAGAACCCTAAAACTCCACCCAAAAAAAACCAAAAAACCCCCAAAATCCATCTCTGGTCAGATGTCCAGGTGGGTCTGTAGGCACCAGGACCACCAGGACCTTGGTCAGATGTCCAGGTGGCTCTGTAGCCATGGTGACCACCAAGATCTCTGACCAGATGTCCTGGTGGGTCTGTAGCCATGGTGACCACCAAGACCTTGGTCAGATGTCCAGGTGGGTTGGTAGCCATGGTGACCACCGAGACCTTGGTCAGATGTCCAGGTGGGTCTGTAGCCATGGTGACCACCAAGATCTCTGACCAGATGTCCAGGTGGGTCTGTAGCCATGGTGACCACCAAGATCTCTGACCAGATGTCCAGGTGGGTTGGTAGCCACGGTGACCACCAAGACCTTGGTCAGACATCCAGGTGGGTTGGTAGCCATGGTGACCACCAAGACCTTGGTCAGATGTCCAGGTGGGTCTGTAGCCATGGTGACCACCAAGATCTCTGACCAGATGTCCTGGTGGGTCTGTAGCCATGGTGACCACCAAGACCTTGGTCAGACATCCAGGTGGGTTGGTAGCCATGGTGACCACCAAGACCAGCCAGGTGGGTTGGTAGCCATGGTGACCACCAAGACCTTGGTCAGATGTCCAGGTGGGTTGGTAGCCACGGTGACCACCACGATCTCTGACCAGACATCCAGGTGGGTCTGTAGCCATGGTGACCACCAAGATCTCTGACCAGACATCCAGGTGGGTTGGTAGCCACGGTGACCACCAAGATCTCTGACCAGACATCCAGATGGGTTGGTAGCCACGGTGACCACCAAGCCCCATGCGTCTGCAGCCCCCCGAGCCCCCAGCCACGCCGGGCGGCGGCAGACGACCTCGCCGTGGGCGCGCCGGCCGGCGGGCGTTCGGCACCAAGTACCTTTCTTCTTCTTCTTCTGGAAGGAGAACTTCTGCTCGATGGCCTTGACCTCCTCGGCCGAGATGAAGTGGCGCACGTTGTAGCTGACGCCG